GGAGGTCTTATATTGGTATAGGCAAAAAAGATTATTAGAAGCATTGGAAATAATCCTTTTGCATATATCGAAGGTCTCGGACGAGACACAACCAGCCATGTAAACAGGATTTCGAAAAGGACTCAACTACACTAATCACTACCGGACCTGGGGTCATTGAGCAGTGTCGAGTGCCGTATGTCCCTTGTTTTAACCTTGTCAACTATGAAAAAACGTTTGACAGCGCCTAAACGGATGCAATCCTATCAGCGCTTGTTGACCGAGATATAGACTCGCCCTATACACAAACGTTGCTGACTGCTATCGCAACTGCAGCACAAAATTACTGTTTTTCCATCGACCCCTCATCGCCCCTATTAAAAAAGAGGGCTTGGAAAGGCGACACTATATCGTCAAAGCTGTATACCACCGCACTGCACTGAATAATAAAGTTCCTCTATTGGGACGAAAAAGCAAATTCCTCTCAAACGTTCGTTTTGCCGAAGTCATGGTCATCTTTTCGGAAGGTACTAGTGAAGTAGAAACAATGCCCAATAATCTCGAAGAAGATTAGCTACGCATAAACAGGACGAAGATTCACTTATTGAAGAATCAACTGCGAAGTGAACGAGCTGAAGTGGTGCACCGATTACGAAGATTACCTCGGAAGCGTACTTTGAACGATAGAAAAGCATTTACAAAAACATGAAGGAAAAATTAGTCAGAGAAGAAGAGCAGCAGGGGCCGCACTCCAACTTGGCAATGAAGCCATAGATCAAGTAGCGCACCCCAAATTTCGTTCTCACCTGTCTAATTCATCAGTCTTCCCAGCCCTCTGTTATTCTGTTTTGCAGCAGGGACGTGGTCAGTAGTACAAACACGTCATGAAATCTGCGTACCAATCACATAGCGCCTGTGCGAAGTCTTTTGAAGTAAAGTTCTGTATTGGTTTTTCACTGGAGAGTGCTGAGTTTCGAGTTAGTCTCCAACACACAATAACTACTAACTCGAAGCAGAATGCTCGCCTTGTACTAATTTGCCACGCTGGTCTTTTCACTAAGCGCGGAAATAACTCGCGTTTCAGTTATAAGTGTTTATAGCAATAAAACAATACAAATAACAATCTGACGATTTATAGTTGAGTGAATAGGGACGAATGAAGTGGGTGAATAACAAGAACACGGGAACACTGGAGTTATAGAATCAGCAGACTACGAAGCAATCTGAGGCAAACGAAGTGCCGTCGGAGACGTGTCCTTTGACAGTCGCTCGAGAGTGTTTCTGTCTATCCTTTTGTCTGGAAACTGTTGGAATTGCCAGCTGTGAGCCACAAAAACTTTCCGTCTGCCGACCCAGCTCGTTAACCGATGCTATGACTCATTACCTGACCTTTTTATTATCTACAATTAGAATATTAATTATTTGATGATATGCGATAGGAATAAGCGTATAAGAGAAAGGAAAGCAGCAGCTATTCGGAGGAATAACTGCTACAAGTCCGTAATCACAACATCTACCGGATTTCACAGTTCAGATCTTTGAGAATTACCTTGTCTTTTAGATCCAGAGATAGATGCACCGATAGCGAAACAGGAATGAGCCAGCTAGATAGTAAGTAGAACTGACAACAAAGAATCCAAGCGTCTTCTTATGAGACTACCCGAACGATGGCTGAACATGTGCGTGGCTAATGTCAATCATCTCCATCCTCTGATGTTAACAAGTGTAGAATCATAAAATGGTCACTGCATACATTACATGCTCGATATGGACCACCACCGTCGCCTACAATTGGGCCCCAGGAAAGCGAATGAAAATTTATATAGGGGCTTGCACTACCAGCGAAAACAGGCCAAGTAAGTACGTAAAGTAAGTACGTGAATTATTATTTGAGCAGCGTGTGTAGCATGATAGCTAGTGATGCTCTGTCATGCACTTTGAATTTCACGTTCTCGCGCCGTCGCGTCCTCACACACCAAGCTTTGCATGAATCTGACTCAGTGATTTGGGACCATAGCCTGATACATGGCTAGGTCAGCCACCCAACTCATTTTATAAGGCAAATATGCATTCAGTCACCTCTACGATAACTGATGTCGTCAAGTATATGGATGTAACACGGTAATCAATTACGATGTAGAGCTTTATCATCTTTGATTCTATTTTACAAAAGTTCAATCTTAAATCGACAATTATGGTCGTTTTTAGTAATGTTAATCGTATTCACCTCTTCATCTGAGCACACATTACACAGATGAAGCATAAGATCTGCTCTTTTCTATTCGCATTGCTCTGTGAAGCGTGATTGAGACATTAGAAACAAATTTAATTTCAGCAAATTGTTTCTTTCAGATTTAACAGCTTTTACCACCCGTAATTTCGAAAGAAGTAAGTGATTCTTCAGTTGAGTTAGCAACTGATGTCACCGTATATCTCAAGAAGTAATCTAGATGAAAACCGCGTGAGGTTTAAATGTCTTTCTAAATCAATGGATGTCGTTTCACCGCTTATCCTTCCTCAGAGCCGTGTTATCATGTCGAGAATTTTACACTCAAAACTGAATAGAGCTTCAGTTCAGCTAGCGGAGAACAAATGAAAAATCGACTCCTTTCGCTGGGACAAGAACTTTCTATAAGAGTCTCAGTTATTATTCAAAAGTTCAAATCTTGGCTAGTGAGCTACGTGGCGATTTTTGAAACACTCTTTATGACGCTGCAGAATTCAAGATTGAATCATAGTCAAATCGGCCAGTTAATTCAACTATTACTTCTTTCGATCACGACAGACACCTGTACGTATAGAGAAAATCATTTAGTATCAGATTTAGACGTCTAATCTGGAGATTCTTCCGAAGCGGAAAAGCCATTCTTAATTGAATAACAAAAATCACACTTTCACTATGGCCTGCGGAGGAGCCAATCGACCGACGGCCGTTTTGAAACCTGTCGCACCTGCCCTGGTCTCGCCGCACCCCGTAGAAAAATCAAAATACCCATCCTCGCGTCTGTCAATTTAATCCTAAAATCCCTGATGCACCGCAGAGAAACGGTCTTTCCAGAGAATAAGCACAGCTACGGATTTCTTTGAATCTACGCTATCGAATGATTGCTAATAGTCTAAAGAAGCGCTCTGTCTTGCGAGCAAAGAGCGTGTGCAGCACAAATGTTTTCTTTCCGTTGGACCGTTATAATAAAGACTTCCAGATATTGGCTCCCTAGCACACTATCTAAAGATTTAAACTATCCAGTTATTAGTAACAGTCTTTTGCAAAGCTCTTGTATAGCGAGAAGGGTCTCGTTTCTTCCTTATAACGGAAAAGAACCTAAATAAAATTATATTTCAAGATATCCTTTCTTCGTCTTTTCACCTTTGGTTTGACATGTCGAAGTTCAATGATAGTCGGTTTTTTGACTTATAGAACATCATCAGCAATTCGAATACAGCTTGGTAACAACCGCCAAATATTTCTCCTCTAAACTTTCAATACAGAAAAGTTTACTCGTGATCATCAAATTTTCTTATAATTCATGAAGGTTCTTCATGACTGGAGACGTCTTGGAGTGTATTGTGTTTATGACCGCCTCTATTGACCGAGTCCAAGGTCTACTCAAATTTAATAAAGGTGGGACAAACCGTTTGAATATTTCTGTGAATCTCGTATCATGTGCATATCGCCAGCCTTATTTGTCTGCAAAATCGTGCTTGCTCAAACTCCTGTTTTGTGCAGGGCCTCCCACTTGCATTAGGAACGGGCTCAAAGAAAAATTTGAGGACTTCTGATAGCAAGTTAGTGCGAAAACTTTCGATGACGTGTAGTGTTGAGTCTTCCTGCAGCTGTGTGCTTACTATCTCGATGGCTCTCGATTAACCGAAAACCTCCTATTCTTGAAGATAACAAAGACGAGAGAGGTTGTTCAAACATTCACAAAAGCTTTTCGGTATGTTCCACAATTATTTAGGTTAGTGCTCTTTGGATTCGCTACTGTTTAGGTCTTGTCAGATGAACAGGTGTTAAACATTGCAAGGACTTCACAGTTTGGAGCCTTTTCTGTTTACTAGTGCGTCAACATCACTATGTAAGAAAAGTTTCATAAGTTTGTTATAGAAAGGCAGAACAAAAAAACAACTCTTTAGTTGCAGTCACCGCGTCAATGTTCTGTATAGCAACCGTTCCGTGGAAGTTGGAGTTCCACTGAACGGTTGCTACTTCTCTGAGCAGTTGAGAGCGATCGCGGACGGGGCGACGTCGCTGCGGGACCTAGCCAATGGTCGCGCCGCCCGCTTCTGCGGAGTGGCGGTCAGTATCGAGTCGTGCTGGCGTCCTGGCCGGTCGTGTATCCCCTTGCCTCACTCTGCCACCTTTCTTGCCTTTGGTTCTTCGCCTCTTTCCTGACTCTGAATCTCTGATTCTGCTTCGTTGCTGTGTATGAAGTGATTGTGGTCCACCTTGCCCATTGACTCGGTTTTCAATCGATTGTTATCGTTCATGTCTATTTGCGAGGCTCATACATTGTGGGCGGAGCTTGCGGCTACGTCGGTCGACCAAGTCCATTGGGGTTCTGTTTGGCCCGGCACCGGGATGCGTCCAGTCCTTATATAGACCCCGAGCTGTCCGACATATTTAATCACCCACTGGCTTGCACCCTCGGTGTATAGGTCAGTTCGGGGCAAGCATAACTGCATCCCGAGGTCCACTGCCTAGTCAAGCCCCGGAGACTATCAGTTCACCTCGCTCACTCATCAATCCTCAGCTCACATCGTTCCTTTTTACCACTACGCACTCAATCATGTCGCAATATTATCGTAGTTACAGTTATGCGCCGTTATTATTATTATTATTATGTTCTTTTTGTGTTATCATTGTATTTATGTAAATATTTTTAGGTTGTCTTAATTATCCTCTACAATAAAACTAATATTCACTCGAGGCGTCAACATCAGTAGCCGTCAGCGGCATCAATCGTCAATCAATCAACACCTTAAATCACTAGCAACGGCAAGCCAACCCCGTTGCTATATGGTGCATTGGCCGGGAGTCGAACCCGGGTCGCCCGCGTGGCAGGCGAGCATTTTATCACTGAGCCACAGAAAGTTTATTTCAAGCAAATATTTTTTGTATACCTTCAATATAGCATTTAGTTAGCCAGAGAACTTCTTGTTTACAAAGAACTTCCAAAAATAGCTAACGTCTGCATCATATTTCTTATCAAGTAAAAATCATGATAAACAAGTTACATACACTATCAAAAAGCCAGAGCTGAAAACATGGATTGCATTCAAACCACTGGGGAAGCAGAGCGTTGAGTAGTTTAAAAGAACTAGCATCTCATATTACATTGCATTTACATGAAATCTAATTGATCTACGTCAATGGCTTTACATAGGCATCCTGATAGAAAAACAGACTTAATGATGATAAGATCATCACAAATTGGGAGAAATCAACATAATTTAGTGTTGATTGACTGATGATTAATGCACAGCGTTCGTCGACTGCGCATGGTTGTCACTGTTGGTAGTGCTGCTACCATGGAGGTGGCTCGCGGAGTTGGTTCCACTAGAGCCAGCAAAGGCCTGAAGCCGAAGGCTCCATCTCGTCTGATAGAACTTGTCTGTCGTAATGGAAAAACTCAGTCATCGAGTGAGTATGAACGTATGGAACTTCTACCGCATTCGAGTTCAATCACTGGGTCTCTATTTCCAACACATCAAATTACTAGCAACGGCGGGCCAACCCCGTTGCTATATGGTGCATTGGTAGACTGTCCGCACACGGGTCGCCAACTCACTCAAGCAATCGTTTGATCACGTTCAAAGCGGTATTTGGCTGGCATTCACTCCACAACAACAAATCCACTGTACCCACTTCACATGGGCAGACTCCTTCCACACGGGTTGCCAACTAACTCAAGCAATCGTTCGATCACGTCCGAAACCCAAGAGCGGTATTTGGAGGATATCTACGCCACAACAACAAATTCACTAAACCCACCTCACATTGGCAGACTCTTCGCACACGGGTCACCGTCTCAATCATCGAACGAAGGATTCAGGTCAAAGAATTCTTTATTCTCAATTTTATTTCAATTTCAGCTTTCTCGCAAAAGAATCGAAGCCTCGAACATTCTGGTTTTTGTTCAAGCTGAGCAGGGCGCACACACAACAGACAACCTCACACTCGGGGAAGGCACCTATTCAATCCTAAAGAGGACTCAGGTCAGAGATTCCTGATTCTTAATTTTCTTTCGATTTCAGGTCGTCCAAACTTTTTTTTTGTTCTTTCGATTTCAGGATTCTCCACTTTGTTTTTTTTTTTCAGTTTCAGGTTGTCCGGTTTATATATTCGACTAAATTATGGTTAACCGAGTAGTTATATCCATCCAAAAGAAGCTGTTGACCAAATCCATCAGCAGGCTTAGGAAAGTAGTAATAGATCTCGGGCTTGACCAAACGACAATGAAAAATATCACTTTGTCGGAAAGGGATATGACCTCAACCTTACAAACCATACAAGACCTCCAAGACAAACTTGACATACTTGAGAAAGCGACGGAAAATGTTCGACTGGAGCTAAAATTTTTTAGTGACAGAGGACGAGTCGCAACTAGATCCAGTAAACCTTCCGCATGGAAATGACGATTCGATAAATTTGCCGGATGATGTTGTCACCGACTCAATGGATTATACCTTCATACTGAAGAGGCAAATCCAGCGCCTTGGAAAATGTGTTGAACGTTCGCAGCGCGTTTCCAGTGCATCATTTTCTATGAGCGTTTGTGGGTCATCTGCCGTAGGTATAAGCAGTACCACAGTTCTCAGAAAAACGATCACAGATCAAAACTCATCTTCCTAGAACTCCAACTCTTCGACTAACTCTCAAGACCTAGTCGAAGACTTCCCCTGTGTTCAGCTAATGGACACAGAAGGTAATTCACACCATCAAAAGTCCACCCCTTCGACCAAATCTGAAGACCTAGTTGAAGGAGTCGTCTAGTGTTCAAGAAGTCCACCGAATTCATATCCGATGACAGCTACGTGGCAACACGCGCGTCTTATTCAGAACAAATCGCTCATAACCAAATGGTCTTCCCCGCGGAAAGATCTACCAATGTCGCCATTAAAGACAAATGCATGACATCATGCTTATCTTTTTGGTCAAAAGGGTCATCCCAAAACGGTCTCAAGTACACAATCGCATCAGCAAGAGGATGGACCTGGCGGAAAAAGCCAGCCTTCCACACCAACGAAAGCGAATATTGCTGAACCTCCCGACGAGAGTGTGCAAGAAGAAGGACCTGGCGGACGAAGCCACCTTCCCACCCCGGCAGAGGACAATCTCTTCGAACATCGTGTCAATCTTTCAACAGAGCAAGGCCAACCAAATTACTCAAGCGGTTCTAACTTTCTTACGCGTTTACCTGATCTGGACACGTTAACTGAACGGAAAAAAACCACCCTTTCTGAGCGAATCATTATCCTTACGCGAAAATTCTTTGATTTGTTCCGAAACGAAATAGGAACAGAAGCGCCTCGTTACACAAATGCAGCGACGAGCAATCCGTAAGCGTGAGGCTGCTCAACGGCAGCAGTCACGGCCAGTGCAGCAGAAGCAGGCGGTCGCGCTCTACGCATACCGCCTCGGGCAGCAACAATCACAACTGGGGGATACCAAGGATTAGACCCTTTTCCTCAGCAAAGCATTTCCTTTGTCTTGTTTCCTCTCGCTTTTCTTCCCGATTTTTCTCGTTCGCTGCATTTCGCTAAGCGTTATTTTCAAGACCTTCTGATCCTTTTTCTGGAATTCTTAAGCAGATCGCACTTGTACAAAATTCTTGAGCCTCCTTTTTTCCTTACTACACAATGACTCCACAACGTAATCAAGAGACGTACGTACTAGACAAAAACTCGCCTGCGCAAAACTCGAGAGAGATCAACACACCAAGGCGGAACTATAATTTCCGACCAAGAAAACAGATATGTTACCGAGACCTGACAAATCTCCTCGACTAAGCAGACCAACAGACAATTCTGAGCGCAAAAAATCATCCACGATCTTGAACCACCTTTCACACAAAAGACTACCTCAACTTGAGCTGGTCCACATCAAATTACAGTCATTGACGGAAGCAAATCTCCTATCCGTTATCCGATAACATAAATACGTTATTTACAGGTCGATTTCGTTTTCTCTCTTTCTCGTTTTTTCCACAAGACGCCTCGACGTTGGCGAGAACGTTCACGCGTCCAGCGGCAATCACCTTCAACGGGAACGGAAGGATTCAGGAGTTTTTTCATTCTTCTTTCTTTCGTGCTTTTCTGATGCTCTTCGTTTAGGCCGAAACCGCTTCACTTAATGATCGCTCGGCGGCCCGGAGCACCCTTGGCCGGCCAGAGTGTAGCAACCGTTACGTGGAAGTAGCAAGTTAGTGCGAAAACTTTCGACGACTATTAGTGTTGAGTCTTCATGCAGCTGTCGTGCTTACTATCTCGATGGTTTTCGATTAACTGATAACCTCCGATTCTTGAAGATAACAAAGACGACGAGAGGACGAGCTTTCCGGTATGTTACACAATTATTTGGGGTTAGTGTTCTTTTTATTCGCTGCTGTATAGGTCTTGTCAGCTAAACACAATGTTAAACATCGCAAGAACTTTACAGTTTGGAGCCTTTTCCTGTTTACTAGTGCCTCAATATCACTGTGTAGGAAAACTTTCATAAATTTGTTAAAGAAAGATAGAACAAAAAAAGCAACTCTTTAGTGGCAGCCAACGCGTCAATGCTGTGTGTAGCAACCGTTCCGTGGAACTCCTACTTCTGGTTGGTACTTCTCTGAGCAGTTGAGAGCGATCGTGGACGGGAATGTGTCCATGGACATCGCTGCTGGACCTAGCCAATGGTCGCGCCACCGTCCTGGTCGGCCGTGTGTTTCCTTGCCTCACTCCGCCACCTTTCTTGCCTTGGTTCCCCGCCTCTTTCCTGACTCTGAATCTCTGATTCTGCCTCGTTGCTGTGTATGAAGTGATTGTGGTCCAACTTGCCCATTGACTCAGTCTTCGATGGTTGTTATCGTTTGTGTTTATTTGCGAGGCTCGTACATTGTGAGCGGAGCTTGCGGCTACGGCGGTCGACCAAATCGTTTGGGGTTCTGTTTGGCCCGGCACCGGGGATGGGTCCAGTCCTTGCATATACACCCCGAGCTTTCTGACATATTTAATCACCCACTGGCTTGCACCCTCGGTGTATAGGTCTGTTCGGGGCAAGCATAACTGCATCCCGAGTTCCACCGCCTAGTCAAGCCCCGCAGACTATCAGTTTCACCTCGCTCACTCATCAGTCCTCAGCTCACATCGTTCCTTTTTACCACTACGCACTTCATCATGTCGCAATATCATCGTAGTTACAGTTATGCGCCGTTATTATTATTATTTATTATTTTTGTTTTATTATTATGTTCTTTTGTTTATCATTGTATTTATGTAAGTATTTTTAGGTTGTCTTAATTATCCTCTACAATAAAACTAATATTCACTCGAGGCGTCAACATCAGTAACCGTCAGCGGCATCAATCATCAGTCAATCAACTGATCAAATCACTAGCAACGGCGGGCCAACCCGGTTTGCTATAATGTGGAATTTCTTTACTTTTGTTTTCACGTGGCTCGTCATCTCAATTGACATCGTGGATCCCAGCGCTTGCTTCGATTCGTTTCACATTCATCCTCCACACAGGTTCTTCATAAATTTCGCCTGTTACCTTGGCTGAGGGCACATGTGGCGCAATGGTTAGAGGTGTTCTACGTCGCACACGAGGTCAATGGTACAACCTCGTGCTTATGGCTCATCATGCCATTCCATCCCTGTGGGTTCGGTAAATTGATACCAGACTGGTCTCAGACTTGTCTGAGTGGATAAGCTGCACTGACTCTGATTCAGCGGGAGGTAGATTTGCATTGAATCACCTCAAACGAAGTTAATAATTGAATGCGAATGCATGGCGCATCCCTCGGAGATTGATCAGCGGCCGAGAGCTTTATCCATTTTACCTTGGCTGCTGCTTAGAGAGTTCACCTACTTTTGGAATGCCATAAAATG